CCCCACCAATAGATTGGAGCCATTTTCTCCTTGGAAAAAAAAAAAAAAAAAAAAAAGGGAAGAGAGAGTTTCAATTTCCGACTTGGCCTGTGTTTTTTGTCCTTTACGAAGCTGAACCAAAAAGTGAGTGATTTTTTTTTTGTTTTTTTTTTCGATTTTTAGCTAGGTGTTTCATTGATATCAAGATCATGTATTGCATCCTCTCTGTACTACGCTATCAAACCTCTCTCTCCCGCTCCCTCCCTTTCAAACCGCACAATCTTATCGATTGTGGATGAGGACTTAGCAAGAAAACGAGGTAACACTGTTGACCGTTGTGATCGTGAGCACTCTTGGCGGTGATCGGGGTTTTGATCCTGGTTGTACTTGTGTCGTGGATCTTGAACGGCCACATGGCCCGGTGCGTTGGAGACAGTCGTGCTCGTGGTGGCTTGTGGTGGTGATTGTGGTTATATGGGTGTGGTGGTGGTGAGGGGGGTCGTGCTCGTGGTGGCTTGTGGTGGTGAGGGGGGTCCTGGTTGTGGTGGCTTGTAGTGGTGAGGGGGTTCGTGGTTGTGGTGGCTTGTGGTGGTGATTGTGGTTATATGGGTGTGGTGGTAGTGAGGGGGGTCGTGGTTGTGGTGTTGAGGGGGGTCGTGCTCGTGGTGGCTTGTGGTGGTGATTGGTTTTATATGGGTGTGGTGGTGAGGGGGGTCGTGGTCGTGGTGGCTTGTGGCTTGTGGTGGTGAGGGGGGTCGTGGTCGTGGTGGCTTGCGGTGGTGAGGGGGGTCGTGGTTGTGGTGGTGAGTGGTCACAATTGCGTTCATAGAGTGCTCGCGGTGGACATGTTATGCATGACATCTCTGACTGTAAGAAGGGGTTGGGTTGATTGGCGGTGACAGAGAGGGAAAGAGAGTGTCGAGATTTTCTGATTGCATCTGTCTGGAGTTGGTGGATGCACATGTCAGCTACAAGAAAGACGAAGGAAGACGAAGACAGTTGAGGATGGCGGGCAACATTGAGGTGCGCCAGGGACTGGGGCCGCAAAAAAAGAGGGGCAAATTTTGGTTGCACAGTATGCCCTAGCAAGAAGCAGGGAGCCTACATCTTGAGGGCCTGAGGACCCTTTTTTTTTACTAAAACGAAAAATAATAATAATAATAATAATAATAATAATAATGAAGGTATTTAAAAATTACAAATTTTGTATAATGAAAATCCTAACTATACGCGCATATTCAACCAAAGAAAAATAAAAGTCCGTCCGCCCAAGTTGGGGCTCATGGACTTTCCAACCAAATGATGCAAGAATAAAAGCCGAGAGCGAGACCGACACGTCATCCAATTTCTGCTCTGGCTATGCTAACGCACATCCTAAGGGCAAACTCACACCAGCGCTCTAAAAAATGCATCAGTTTAATATGTGATTTGTGATCCATCGGGTCAAAAAAAAAAAGAAAAAAAAAAGGCATCTGACTCCAATTACGGCCAGACCTTGATGCATCTGGCCGCAATCACGCCCATAAATAAGTAAAAAAGTAAGTCCTACTGTGAGTATCCTCTAATTGCAAAACTACACGGGAACAAAAAGAATAGACCACATGGCAAGGTAGGGAATTACCCTCCCCACATCGCAACTTGGATTGCAATATAAAGTTTCTAAAGTTTCGAAAATTAGAGGCAACTTGATTTAAAAAAAAAAAAAAAAAAAAAAAAAAGGCAACTTGATTATTTTCGAAACTTTACGACAAGTTGGCAACATGATTTAAAAAAAAAAAAAAAAAAACGAGGCAACTTGATTTACACAGGCCGCTCTCTCTGTACGAGGCCCCTTTTTCTAGATCGCCTACAAAATCCGCATGTGTACAGATCCTCCTAGTTCGTCAAGAGTTAAAAGACAGCCATGCAGGTCTAGGTTTTTCTCAGTCCAGCTATTATCATATATTTCTCCATACTCCATAATGTATACAAGGGACGCTGGACCCGGTTCCCAGCTGGTGACACTCCCCACCAATAGACGAAGCGGTCAGTTAAAAAAAAAATAAAAAAAAATCATCATCATCATCATCATGATGATCACAAAAAAGAAGAAGAAAAAAAAAATCACAAAAAGAAAGAAATAAAAAAAATATAGTTCATTACATCACGGGGCTTCATTTGAAGGGCCAGCCCACCCAAGCAGGTGGTTCTTCTGTCCTGGGTGGGTGCCACCACCCAGTTTTCCCTTCCTTTCAGATTCCGAACTTTCAATCCACCTTTTTTCTTCTCCTCCATGCCCCCCCCCCCCCTTCTTCCCGTCCATCTCACCATCTGCTTTGATATGATATCCCCAAAACTTGTAGGCTTGTAGCTTCCTTCCTTCTCCTTGCTACCCTCTTCAGTCCTGCTTCAAAGACCTATCTTGTGTATCATCCCCATTTAAACCCCAATTCCTTCATCAGTATAACAAGGCTCCGCCATTTTGTGAAGTTCGGATTTGTATTATCCACAATCCTGCAGATTGTTTTGGACACCGACGCGAACTTTTGAGATGCAAAACTTTCGGCTGCAAACTTTTGAGCCAAAGGAGCATAGGAGTAGAACCACTTCACTTTTTTGAACCGTCATGTTGTTCCTTCTTATATTGTGCCCCAAGTTTGAAGCTTTATGAAAAGTAAAAATCCAAGCTGGTACATCGGTGATGACCGACCTGGTTTCCAATTATTCCAGCAATGACACTGCCAGCTCGGTCTTTTCAAGTATAAAGTTGTTGGGATGGTATCTATCGATTTGTGCCAGCATCTTGTGAAAGACATGATCCATGGCTTTCTCCCATCATAAAAAAAGACACCCGTTTTGTCTGATAGGAGTGGTGATATGAGCATCCACGCCTATCAGGCTCATGCGAGACTCCTGTCTATTGGTGGGGAGTAACACCTGTTGGAAAGTTGGTCCACAATATCCCTCTCTCTCTTTCTCTCTCTTTCTCTCTCTCTCTCTCTCTCTCTCTCTCTCTCTCTCTCTCTCTCTCTCTCTCCCCCCCTCCCTTCATGGGGTTGACCAAGTTGCTCAGCGTAATTTTGTCTGATTTTTGCTGTTATGGACTTCGTCTGAATCATGATGTTAACAAATATTTGCAAAAAACATCAGAAGCTTGTTGCCTCTTAACACTAAAAAGCCCGCCAGATGTAACTTTTGAAACGTAGGGTATAAAGATCGCCCATCTTGCTCAGCGAATATGCAAAGCACATTAGCAAGAGGCGGGCTCGCCCTCATCCCAATTGGGATCCCGGGATTCCCGGTAGTTTGCTGCATTGGCTGCCTCATTGAGTAGAAATACGTACTGTCTAGTTGAAAATTTGTTAGTGTGACCAGTTCTTTTAGTCGAAAAGACTTCCAACCTCGTTTCCCATGCGATCTACCAAACCTGTTATTAGAGTTGCTGCGAGAGAGAGGAAGCTGTATCGGTTGAGGTGGTTTGGTGGGCCAAATCCATCCGTGTATGTCATCGAGCGATTCTGCTGTATCAAACTTTGAATTTTTTTTTTGTTTTTTTTTTCGTTTTTTATTGCCTGTTTCATTTTTTGATGTTTGCACTATGGTCTCATATCGTTTGTTTTTAAAATTTTTGATGAAATTCACACCGCAATTGCCAACGAAAACGACAAATATTTGGGCCTCCGTTAACCGTCTCTCAATTTTTCAAAAAATTTCGTCTTGTGTTAATTGGCATCTCTATGTGTGGAGCTTGGTGTTATGAAGTGTGTATGACGCGAGAAGCAATGTAATTTTGCAGATTCAGTTCAGTCGATCCAGCTTCCACACTTTTGTTAGTACCGCAGGGGGATGCATGACATGCATGCCAGACAACGACTGTTAGCAGCACATGCCCTTTGCCAGATCTTGTAACGCCAGCTGGTACATCAGGTTCAAAGGCGGGAATTAACGACAACCGATCATGGGTGACGGTCTTGAAATGCATGAATCAACAATGATAGCATTTTGTTAATTCATGTGCGAGCTTCTTGGGCGTGGTTTTACATTTGCCGGAACAACTGATCTCTTGTTACTGTTGTCAGTGATAATGCAGAGCATTAGCCACGTCGCAGCTGCAATTTTCTGTGCACGGAGCATCTGCTCAAGGTGCAGGTACCGAGTATGGTGAGCTCAGTTCATTTGACTTGCTTCGGAAACATTCTGAGTTCCAATCTTCGTGTTCGACAGAAAAACACACGTTTCATATGACGCTGCTGCAGTATTGGTCCAAGTTCAAATCTTCGTCTTCGACAGAAAAGCACACGTTTCACATTGATTTCCAGATGCCATCTGAGGCAATCTCTAAAAAATGACAATGTTATGCTGAAGGAGCTGACGGTGTGCTTCGATACGGTGTTTTGAACACGCTTGGTCCACGGATGGACCGGGGGCCCCTCGGACGACCGGGTCCCTGCCGGTCGGACCGGTCGGCAGACCGGCCCGGCAGGCACCCGGTTGGCCCCAGCGCATTTCACTGGGGGTCGATTTCGGGTTTTTTTTTTTCCCCGTTCGCCTGCCTCCTTGGCCACAGGCCGCTGCCAGCACTGAAACGAAGAACCGGGGCCCGTCCGAGCCCGCAATATGATGTAAATGCGCCGACAAATCTCTGCGCGCTTACTTGATTTTGTGGGGTCGGACGGACCCTGTTTTTTTGAACTTCGGAGTTCAAACGTGGCCGATTGCGGCCGCTGATCTGGGAGATCGGCGGCCGCAATCGGCCTCGTTTGAAATCGCTCCCAAGTAGCAGCAAAGGCGGTAGTCCCCACTCCTCGTTGGCCTCACTCCCCGTAGGTGTAGTCGTCAGTCCCGGTAGGCGTACTCGCCACTCACCGTAGGCCTTCGACGTCGGGTCGTGTAGCGACGTCGTGCTGTTCGAGATTGAAGCCGCGCGTTCATGCAGCAGCTACAGATGCAGCCATCACTGCACGTGGAAGCACCGCCCGCCCTTCAGCCATCGCTTCACGTCCAGAAACTTGCCCCCTTGCTCCATCGACGGCGGTGAGTACGTTCGTTGTAGGTTTTTGTTTTTTTACGTATATTCTTCTTCTTCTTCTTCTTCGTCTTCTTCTTCTTCTTCTTCTTCTTCTTCTTCTTCTTCTTCTTCTTCTTCTTCTTATTTTGTCTTCTTATTTCTTCTTCTTCTTCTTCTTCTTATGTGTTGTTGGGAGAACCGACCCCGCGCAGCCATAGCTGCACATCGAAGAACCGACCCCCCTCCTCCTCCTATTATTTTCTCCTCCTCCTCTTCCTCCTTTTCTTCTTGCCCTTTTCTTCGCCTCCTCGTCCTCTTTTCTCCTCTTCCTCTTCCTCCTACTTCTCTTCTTCTTCTTCCTGCTCCTGCTCCTCCTCCTCCTCTTCCTCTTCTTCTTCTTCTTCTTCTTCCTCCTCCTCATCCTCCTCCTTCTTCCTCCTCCTCCTCCTCCTCCTCCTCTTCTTCTTCTTGCTCTTTTCTCCACCAACTCTTTTCTCCTTCTCCTTCTCCTCCTCCTCCTCTTCTTCTTGCTCTTCTCTCCACGTCCTCCTTTTTTTTCCTCCTCCTCCTCCTCCTTCTCCTCCTCCTCTTCTTCCTGCTCTTCTCTCCACGTCCACCTCTTTTCTCCTCCTCCTCCTCTTCTTCTTCTTCCTCCCCCTCCTCTCGTTTGTCCCCAAGCACGCCATATCCATAGCCAGAGTAGACATAGTTTTTTTTTT